GAGAAATCCCCCAACCTTCTACGTAAACGTCATTGGCGACAACGACTACTGGATGACCCCGATCTATAACTATGTTGCCAAGTATGAACTACCATCCGACCTAAAGGAAGCCAGCATGGTCAGGCACAGAGTTTGTTCCTATGTCACGGTTGAAAATAAGCTTTACAGGTGAGGGTTCTCCATTCCTTTCCTCAAATGCCTCGAGGAAACATGCTCACCCTCATCCTGCACAAAATCCACGAAGGAATCAACGCCCAGCACCTCGAAGGAAGATCCCTCGCCAGGAAAGCTCTACGAGCAGGATATTATTGGCCGACCATGCAACATGACGCGGAGGAGCATGTGAAAAAATGTGACAAATGCCAACGTCATGGGGACATGCATTTGGCGCCTCCCAACGAGCTTAAAATAATGTCCTACCCGTGGTCATTCGCATGGTGGGGCTTGAACATCCTAGGACCGTTCATCGTAGGATCGAATCAGAATAAATATCTGATATTGGGCGTGGATTATTTTATAAAGTGGTTAGCAGTAGATGCTCTAGCCAAAATAATTTCCCAAAACATACTTCGTTTCTACAAGCGAAACATTCTTGCCCACTTCGGCATTCCTCGGGAAATCGTCACCGACAATGGGACACAGTTCACGGACAAAAATTTCCAAGAATTTATCGCCAAACTGGGTACCAAACAACATTTCACGTCCGTCGAGCATCTGTAGACGAACAGGCAAGCCGAAGCAGCGAATAGGGTAATCCTGCGAGGTCTCAAATAAATACTAGACGAAATCAAAAAATAGTGGGTCAAGGAGCTACACATCGTGCTATGGGCCTACCGAATCACGCCCCACTCAACGACCGGGGAAACCCCTTTCTAATTAGCATACAGAACCGAGGCGGTGATCCCTATCGAAATACACGTGCCCTTCAGGCGGACTGAAGCTCCCCTGGACGAGGAGACGAACAGCGAGGCGCTGAGGGAGGAACTCGACCTCGTTGAAGAGGTTCTATCAGGAGCAGCACTCTGCGAGGCCTCGTTAAAATAAAAAATTGCAATCAGGTATAACACCAAAGTCATACGACGGGACTTCTAAGTAGGCAACCTTGTCCTGAGGAGAAATCACAAAGATTCTCGCAAAGGCAAACTCGCCGCAAACTGGGAGGGGCCCTATCGTGTTTGAGCAAAAATAGAAACTGGAACTTACTACCTAGAACACCTCGACAAGGAAGAACTCGCTCTACCAAGAAACGCCGAAAAGCTAAAACAATACTACAGTTAAGACCACAACAGCCAGCGTGCTCCGTCAAAACGACGAGCACAGTATACCGACTAGAAGTACACGCCCCGGTACAAGCGCTGCATACTAAAATCAATCAAGGCATACTTTTACTTCAGAACAAGCAAAACCCCTGTCCGACAATGATCCCTCTACCGAACCCACCATCCATACCGTACCACGAAAGGCAGAACGCCTAGCTTGTGATGGGAAGTTCACGCCGCACAACTCAGGCCACAAACACGATCTGAGCTCCGCTCTCTTATCCGAAAACTACCTAGACCTTTCGACCAGTTGCCCTCATTTTTGAACAACTATTTTCCGAGTAAACCCCGCAATACAGTGAAAAATGATTCATGAAAACAACCCATACAAGCTAAAAATGAAAATGGCTACCCAAAAGTTTCAGAGCATCCATGTGCGTGTCGCAGTCGAGGAGCTCCTTGGTGTTAATATATCGGGTCTCTACCTTGGGCCCCCCGTCATTTTCAAGAATAATATCCCCGCCCCTGGTCACGCATTAGGCAGGGGGAAACTATCAACAAAGGCCACCAGCTTGTTATAGTTGGCCAGGTCATCTTCCTCCAACATGGTCGGCCTGGCAAGATACTCCTCGAGTTTCCCTGGTGAGATGGTCCTTGCTCTAGGTGAAACAGAATTTATGCGCCCGACACGCCTTTACCCTGTCTTGCTCGTTGCGAATGGGCTCCTCGTTTTCATCTGTAAAGACCTCCCAGAGAAATGATGAGTCTTTGGCCCTCTTCGACACTGGCTCCACTAAATAATACCTTTCCTTGAACGTCTTGATGGACTTTGAATAGGCTTTGAACAACTTCCTCCCCTGCTCTAGGGAAACCCATCTAAACTGCTCTTGCACGACCTGACATTGGAGATGGAAGACAATAAAGAAGAGGGGGAGAGTGGCTCCAATCCCTAAGTATTTGCAGGTGATCTTGAATGCTCGGATAAATGCAATCGAGTTTGGATGGAGCTAAAAGGGCACCAAGTCCAGATGACCGAAAACTGCCACCTGAAGATCTGTAAAGGGCAGTCTCAACCCCATCTTTTTAAAAGCATACTCATACATGTGAAAACACTCGACATCGTAAGCCGAGCATATCCGATCATCCTCCCCGGGGAAGTGGACCCTTCAATCTCCCTCGTCCTCCACAGTCGTGAAGGCATCTTGAGTATAGAAGGCGAAGAGTGAGACATGCTCCCGATGCTCGGGGGCAATCCATTCCTCCCCGGAACTTTCGAGAACGGTTTCCTCATATATGTTATCCCCTGAAGTGCCCTCATCAGATAGCTCATGCTCGAACATGTATCCTCGAGCATCGCGAACCGTTGGATTCCCTATTCGCCGGGCACACAGGATAACGTTTCAGGTTCCATGGGCACATGTATCCTCGAGCACCGCGAAGCGACCCCGTCTCAATAACAAATGTCAATCACGCTTACTCCTCCTCGGGATCACGGACTGCCCTTAAGTCATCACTCCTATGCTCAAGAGCAACGACTTGGGGGATCCTATTCCGGACTGATCCAATCCACTTCTGCACCCAGAACGGCCCAATAGCTTAAGCCCTGCCATGTGAGAGCAAACGAAAGCACTTTTTCTTCTGACCCTCAGCTGAGGAAGGCTGACCAGCTGACCCCAAGGGCAGCTGTCCTTCGTCACATCTTTGTCCGTCACGCACGGTTCAACCATCCAGGAACGGTCACGACGCGCTCGCCCGTGACCACACCCCTGCTCGAAGCAACGGCTAATTCCGAGCATGTATGTCCGTCACAACGGCTAGTTTCTTGCAGGTTACCTATTTTTTGGGAGCGAATATATCGGCCTGAAAATAGGGACCAATGGCCAAGTGTTGGGGGCATTATAAATACCCTCTCCTTTGAGAGAGTCAGGTATTCCAAAATCATCCTAAGATATTCTTACTTTGTACTTGCCTTCTCCTCTCCCGATTCTTACTTTGGCATCAGAGTGTCTTGGAGGTACACCCTCCTCCTCCTTGGATTCCAGCATCGAAGACGAAGTCTCTGACCCACTTCAGGTTCTGATCAACTGGAAAGATAAAAAACTATGTTATTTTAGTGGTTATCTGAAATAAATCAAGTGCGGTTATATTAGAAATCTCTTCAGTGTGAGAGAATTGGATTAACATCTAGTTAACTGGGTGAATCAACATCAATTTTATACTTTTTAACCTTGAGTGATCAAAAAAGTTTTTAAAAGCAACCAAATTTATCCTCTCACAAAAATTATAGTAACTATTAGTGTGAGAGGAAATAACACCCTCCAAAGTTTTGATATAATTGTACAAAAAGAATGGATGAAAAGGAGAATACGGATATCAATTTGCAAAGGAAAGTGGAAAAGAAATATAGAACTTATCGTAGACATTAAGAAAAAGATTGCTTAATCAAACTTTGTAATCAAAGTGGCTTTCCAAATACATTGTGTTCATACATAAACGTAGAGCAGTTAAAATGTGCTAGCCCACATAGGCCAGCCTACCAAATCTAAAAAATCTTAAAGTTTGCATCTTAAAATTAGAGTTCATATTTTTCAAAGTTTTTTTATCTCAATCCTAAAAATTCGCTATCCATTAGGTCAAACCCATTAAACCCCCACATTGTAATAAATTTTAAAAGATTATATTAATATTTATATTATTTTACTCCAAAATAACACATTAATTTTTCTCACCTCACTAGATTTTATCTCTATTCAATTAAATTTTTCTCTTTTAAATATTATACATTATTATAACCAACACTCTTTTTTCGTATTCTATTAGTTTCTCTTACGTTAAATATTCGAGTATTATTTTATACAATTTAGACATGTATTATATTTAAAAATATATTATATTATAGTATTTATAAAAAAATAATATAATTAATATACTACTTTAAAATATATTAGGTTTAAAATAACATAATTTTTAATTTTAGTTATAATAAATATTATAGCATTTTTATATTTATTTTTTATTTAAAAAATTCATTTGAGACTGAGTGGCCCAAAATCCATTTAAGGCCGAATTTGGGTAGTAATTTTTTTAAAGCCGAATAGCCTATTATAACAGCTCTACATAAATGTAGAAAGAAGCCATAGATGAATCATAATATTCATAAATGAAGCATGTAATAGCAAAAGAAGAAATTGTATTGTGTAGAAGATGAATCAGCTAACATTTTATGGAACCTAGAAGAACATTCCAATGACAATATCGTGTATCGTTTACAGATTCTTAGAAATCAAAAACATCGAAAAGAAGATAATTAAAAGATACCAACCAGCCAAGACTAGCAACATGGTTCAACTCTACTTGTCCAAAGAAGAATAAGGAAGAACAGTTTAAAAAAGAGAAGGAAAAAAAAATAACAAAAGAAAATAAAAGGAGAAGGTTTTCTTCTTTTGTGTATTACTCTATCATGAGAGGTGTGCATCATTTTTGTGGCAAACTCCATATAAACCTGATAACAAGTCTCAAAATCCCAAAGAAAGAAAACCTATATTTCACACTCAACCCTTATAGTAAAAAAAAACCTTGTAAGTTTGTGTATTTGCAAGTTATTCAACATAGCCAAACCATTTGGCCCTAACGAAATTTTAGAAGCAACGATCAAAGTATCTCAAAACGAAGAAGATTCATGCTTTCATACATTCATTCACCTTCGAAACACGAGCTAGCATCATTCGTGGCTTAATCTTCCTAAGCAGCAATTCCTGAATCAAAACATGTTCAAAAACACATTAATACACGCATTTCTATCGTCGTACTTTCTTATTCGAGTAAAAGAGCATATATCTAAACATGAATCAAGGTAAGTATGAAACCTTAAACAATGAAGAGCATTATTTTATTTTCAAATGATGATACAAAAAGAAGCGCATTCTACCTCTGTTTGATTGTCTATTAGCAACAGCATATGCCCCAACGTGACCACCACTAGAGCTTTTGCGCATTAAATCCGAAACAGCATTTTCAAGGCCAAAACTAAGAGAACCGGGATCCTCTAGTTCAGAAGTTGTTGAATTCCAAGTATGGTCTTGATAAAACGGTGCAGCGTCATAAGTACTTTTGTATGCCTCGCCGTAACCGCCATTTGAGAAAGCATATGATGAATCTGATTCAACAATGCCTTCACTACTCTTTCCATAACCTACGGCTTTTGACCCTAAAATCACATCTCCAAGCCTATAATTAAGATTGCTCTTACCATATCCAGACCCGATAGTTCCAGCTTGATTAGTACCACCGACAGAGGTACTCCAGAGTGATCCGATATTACCAAAAGAACCGATACTTGAACTTTCATTTCCATAGCCTAGAAAAGAGTCGGGGTTTGCAGGGTTATTAGCATAGTTAAGATTTCCGTTACTCCACAAACTCTGATTTGTTGAACCTATGTTTGAATTGTTGCCAACATTTGAACCAACATACCCCATGGCATTATTGTACCGGCTCGGACTTGCACTGTACGGAGAGCTCAATGCCCGTCCCATGACAAAGTTAGACAAGTTTTCATTTTCATTCAATGGTGGCTCAAAGTTGAGTCCTGACCCATAACTTGGACTGAAAAGAGTATATCCATTACGGCCGACATTAGCAGGGCTCAATCTACCGTCTATTCTAAGTCCGTGTCCTCCAATGAGGTTTGGATTATATCCCTGTGCGAAACCATTAGAAAAACTACTAACCCTATTCATAGTACCGTAACTAAATCCACCTAGCTGGCCTCTACTTGGACCGGGAGATAACTCCTTGGGGACAGCCCTCTTAACCTCAACCATTTTACCGTTAAGCTCATGGAAAGTTTTATGCAGCACTTTCTCGACCGATTCCTCAGAATCAAATGTGATGAATCCAAAACCTCTAGGTCGTTGTGTGTTATGGTCATACATCACAACAACGTCAGTAATTGTTCCAAATTGATCAAAGTAATTCTTGAAATCACTCTCAGTAACTGTGGATGCTAGACCTCCAACAAATATCTTCTTTGTGCGAATAGGAGTAGGACCCGGCGACCCGTGACTGCTGCTGTTGCTTCTGCTAAACACATTTTGATCATCTCTAGGGACAGCTTTTTTTGCTTCAACCTGCATGATGACAGCAAAACTCAATTAAACACTATCATAACGAAGTTGTAAAGCTTCTTGCAAAATGCTAGCACTTGATTACGAGTCACATGGAAAGTACATATCTGCAAGGAATATTCTGATGTAGCTGTCAGCTTACAAAAACAGATGCGTCTCGGCGCGCATTTTCCAATACAATACTACTTTTGGAATAGCTATCGTAGCGGAACAGAATTTTTCACTACACCGGTTTAAGTAATTACGATATTCATCAAGTGTTTTGCATATTGCATTAACATCTCAGGCATCGATTTTCATTCACATTTATCTAGCCATCGCTATCGTGCCAACTACCCTTTACAACAGCCTCAATGATTGTGACCTTCTAAATCTCATTCGCATATTTAAAGCTCAATTGTATCAAGAAAACCAAAACTCCAACAACTAATCAAATTTCTTTGCAAACCGATATTCTCTATTGGTAAAATTCTAAACTGTGGTTGCATCATAACACAGCAAAATGCATCCAAATAATAATAAACGCACTTTCATCGATCTTTTCAGATGGAGGGCAGTGAATCATAATTCTTTTTCAACATGAAAAGAAAGTGATACAACAATAAACATAAATCAATCATCAATTATAGGAAACTTACAGTTCTACCATCTATGACATGTTTTTCAACAACAACTCGTTCGGCAACAGAAGGATCAGCAAAAACAACAAATCCAAAACCACGCGCACGTCCCGTGGTACGATCCTTCATAATCACAGCTTCAACCACATCACCAAAGCTCTGAAAATACTGTCTGAGTCGGTCTTCATTAGTATCCCAGGAAATCCCTCCAATGAACAGCTTCCCAGGATCCATTTCCACCTGCACTTCAACCTACTCCAATCAAAATTCAAAATCCAATCACATCCAAAACACAACCTTAAAAAAAACACAAACACACACAATCCCCCTCCAACAACAATCATCAAACAAAAACATCGTAATGCTGATTAAACAACCTACGAACAAAACAAAAACATGCAACAAAAAAAAACAAATCTATATTTTTTTCCGACAACTTTAGCAGAAAACTATGGTGTTGATTATAATTCTCTACTTAGCTTAATGGATCCTTAATGGATCAACCCAGAATTCAAAATTCAAAAAAGCATAAAACTTGAAGACAAAGTCATTGGATTAAGAGAAAAAGGTTTACCAAGAGAAGACAAACCCAGATGAGAAATTAAGAAGAAATCTAAGATCTGAGAGAAAGCATAAGAAGGAGAGAGAGGGCGAGAGGCCCTCTTTTTTTCCTCTTGGTTTCTTTTTCTCTTACAAACAACAATTACCGTTGATTCAAGATGATAAATATGTATATATAATGAATGAATGAAAGATGTGTATCACATAGAGAAAGAGATATATGAATGAGAAAAAGGGTATTTGTATCACCTTATATTAAATTTAAAAAATTTTAAAAATATATATAAATTATTTTTATATTTAATTTTTGTAGAGATGAAGAGAGAGAGGTTTCTCTTTCTTTCTCATCTATCTACTAATATCTATCCTATTGTTCAAGAAATACCAAAGGATAGAAGATGGTGACACATTATTTGCCATTTCCCAAGATTGATTTTTTTAGAAGAAGAGAAAATAGGAAAAGTTTTAAAAAAAATTAAAAATTATTTAAAATAATAATTTTTAGACATTGTGAGGAAATTTCTCATCATGTTCAAATAAAGATATTTATAGAATAAGAATACATTTTATATTTATTACTTAATATATTAAAAAAATTAAATATTATTATTTTTTTAACTAATAGTGTTCTTTGTTCTATTATATAAAACTTTGATAGTCTAAGATTTCTTAATTGATTTAAAGTATGATAATTTGGATAATTGCTCACTAAAATGTTCTTAGTTTACTTTTATTTATTAAATATTTTATTTTTATATTTTTATACTTTTTTATTAATCTCAACTAATCTCTTTGATGATTAGATGGTTCACTTTTTCAAACAAATTCTATATATAAAGGTCAAATATTTGTACCAAACAAATAAAGATCAAATGTATTTAAACTATCTCAATGGTTTAATAAAAAATAACAATAATATATAATAGTGATTTTTTAAAACAGTCAAAATTGTAAATAAAAAATCTAAATATTTGAACATCAAAATTATAGTTTAATGTCATCGCTTAAAAAGTTGGCCTTTATAATCTATTTTTATATATGTGATAAAATGGAAATTAAATTTATTTTCTTTTTATTATTCTTCTCTTTAGATTTTATATTTCAAAACGACAATAATTACTAAATCTTACCCTATCAAGTGAAATAAACAAATTGATTAACTTTGGTCGAAATCTTCTATTTATAACTATACTTCCATTTAAATTACTATTGATTTTTAAAAAAAATTGTTTTGGATTAATTTTTGAAAAAATATTAAGAGAGAATTTATATGTTGCAAAATGGTAGTACTAATTATGGTAGATATGAAATGGAAACAAATAGAGAAAAAAATCTGTTAGCATTGCTTGAGTTGAAAGAAATGAGAAATTAGCTGAAATAGAAGATGGTGATGTAATATGATGAAGAAGAAGTAAATTGGAGTAATTTGGGAAATGGCATGAATTTTGAGGCGAATAGACAAAATGAAGCAACAAGTTGAATAGGCAAAAATATTGATATTAAATACGAGTGGTTGCTGTACAACAACACCTTTCCATCAACTTTCAAATTAAAAATTGAATAATTAATTATTTAAAAAGTAGGGTTATGTGCGAATGACAGAAGGGATTGCTTGTGTATCCACTCATCAAAGAATAAACAGGTATATGAAGAAAATTTAAATACATTTTTTGTATAATGCATGTGCATAATCTATTGCTTTTTTCATTTATTAAAAAATAAATAGTATTGTTCTGTTAATTGATAACCACAGCTTTTCCTCTTGTTTTTTTATTAGTGTTCTTTTTTCTTTTTTTTTTTTATGATTGATGGTTTATTTGTCTGTTTTTTAATTTATTTATACGAAAAGAGAATATAGTATTTGTAATCTAACAAACTTAAAATGGAAAGTGTTTATACGCTATGTACAATATTAAATTGTAATAAATTATGATTATAAAAATGTATAATGATAGTGAAGTTTACCATATTTTTCAAGAGGAAATGAATAACACAATTGAAAAAAAAAAATAGATTTATTAGATTTGATCTATTTATTTTGTTTAAGAGAATGTAAAATATGTTTTCTTGAATGACCTAAGTGGTCATGTCAAAGAGGTTCGATTTTATTTATGGAGTTGGTGTTGGGAGTGATGGGATAGAAATCGTTTTGACTCTCACATTTTATTAAAGTCATTCTTGTTTGAAAATCATTCACGGTAAAATTAAATGGGTCAAATTAAAATGAAATTTTATTATCAATTTACAAACGTATACTAAATTTTAAATAAGTTTATGACATGCAGTACACTTTTGAGAACAAGAGGAGGATGAGCGTAGATATGTGTGCACTAGCAAGACCATAAACTAGAATAGAATTACCATTTTCTACAGTTATTTTATTATTTTTGTTCAATTTAAAATAAGACGAAAGATTACATTGTGAGGATGTCATGTCAGTAGTAGCTCCGGTGTCTATATACCAAAACTGATTAACCTAAACAAGATTGAGGGTGTGAATAACATTTTCAATATCAGTTGGGCTAGATGCATTCACATTGAGAATAGCCTGCAGCCTAGGCCAAAGTATTCCTTCTTGTTGGACAACATTGTTGGGCATATTCCAAGAATCTCACTGCTCCCATTAATGTTATCTACAACCACCGCCTCTGAAGTAGTAGGGACCGGTTCGGCCACCCTTCCTAGAGCTCCAGATGTCGTTGTTGTAGGTGTTTTCTTATCTTTATTATGATAGTCATTAGATGGTGGTGTTGGAGTAAGCCCTAATAGCCAATCAATGTTGATTATGTTTTCTTTTGTCTCTATTATGAGTAATATTATATTGGATTGATCTATCATAAAAATACTACATTGTTTGTTATGTAAATGTCATAAGTTATTCTCATAGTGGTAATGATGTATACCACTCTTCGACCTGAAATCACTATGTACCATAGATGTATAGTCGAATACTTTATTGTCAATCAAACATTGTTTGTAATAGGATGACCATGAAGATGATTGATGGACAATATAAAAAATCATGTTGAGAGACATGAGTGATCTAGATGGGATTTGTCCCTCATATATATATATATATATATATATATATATATATATATATATATATATATATATATATATATATATATATATATATATATATATATATATATATATATATATATATATATATATATATATATATATATATATATATATATATATATATATATATATATATATATATATATATATATATATATATATATATATATATATATATATATATATATATATATATATATATATATATATATATATATATATATATATATATATATAGACATGAGTGATCTAGATGGGATTTGTCCCTCATATATATATATATATATATATATATATATATATATATATATATATATATATATATATATATATATATATATATATATATATATATATATATATATATATATATATATATATATATATATATATATATATATATATATATATATATATATATATATATATATATATATATATATATATATATATATATATATATATATATATATATATATATATATATATATATATATATATATATATATATATATATATATATATATATATATATATATATATATATATATATATATATATATATATATATATATATATATATATATATATATATATATATATATAGGCTCCTTGATCGAGTATGACTGTAAAAGGCATAGTTGTGCTCAAATAAGTCGATATAAGATATGAGTTTATTTGTTGTTATCAAGTATATTTGAATATTAAGGAATATAATATTGGACTATAGAATGGGTATAATATTGGACTATAGAATGGGACACATTGTATGCCTTGTGTTGTAAGGAAAAAAAGGGTAATTATACACATTATCATTATCATAAAAAAGTTGTGTCATATCAGATAACATTCTCATCACTTGAATAGTAGTGATGTGTTGCTAGATACTGTTTACTGTTTATAGTATTAAATATGTTATTTAATATTATTTTCAACGTTACAAGAATCCATATGGTCACACGCATATGAATGATTAAATTAAATAAGATTCAACTTAATCATGTGTTAATAGTATTTGAATTATTTAACACATTAACAAACGTATAAATTATTTAAGTAAATATAATTTAATTAAAACAATGAGAATTGAAAATTAATTGAATTAAATATGATATAATTTAACTATTTTATTTTATTTTATTTTATTAAAATAATTTAATTAAACATAAAAAAATATTTTATTTTATTTTATTAAAAAAAATTAATTAAATATAAATATGATTTTAGGCATATTTTGGAAAAGTCTAAAATAAGAGCATCGAGGTTTTAGTAACTCTATAAATAGAAGATTTTTTTCTCCTACAATCATAATTGTTGTCATTCTAAGAATAAAAAAATGTTAGCATTTCGTTCCAATTTGTACTTGTGTGGATTTCGTAGAGACAATGGTATTTTCTACGTTCCTGATCAAAGTTAAAGTATGCTTCAAGAAATAGTTTGATAATCCTAAGTATATTTAATTTATGATTAATGATTTAATTAAGCCTCGTTCATCGGAATTGTTTTGTTAAAAGGATCAAAATTTTGAAAAAGATTTCTTAAATTCCAATAGATGGAAGCCAATTTTGATGAACGTCTAAGAGTTA